TCCATTTTAAATTAGCACTGTGTGCTTAAGATGTTTATGACTGTGGGGAGCATTTCAAGCCTCTGTTTAAAAATATGAAAAAGAGAAAAAAGTCAATAAAAAATAAACCACTTTTCTCACTGAACTAAATAGGTGTGCTTCTGTATAGGCTTCTGCTGATGAACATCTCTAAATATTAAATGCAGTCCTTTCACTTGAAGACTGGTCTGTTTATCTACAGATTTTTTGCAGTGACTCTTGGCTGGTTAGTTAATCTGCGAGCTGTCATGAGACTTAATTTTTTATAAACTATGATGAGACTTAATTGTTCGTCAGAAAAAATTAAGACTAAATTGTTTAATCATTTTTTTTTAATTGCAGGCAACATGTAGTTCTAATAATACTTAGAAAACCTCTGTGTAGTCTCTGGAGTCTAATTTGAAACGTGGTCTTTTCCCCAGCAGTTATTTCTTTTTGCAGCTGGCCCTTTTAAATCAGTCGTGAAATGCATTGATGCAATATTATTGTTTACTTTTTTCTTGCTCTTCATTATGAGGCCAATTAAACAACCTGAATTTTATGAGCTAGAGCTTCTACACAGAGGATCCACTTGGACAGCTGCCAGCCAGCACTTCCCTCCTGCCATCTGGGTGGCCACCTGATGTCTGAGCTGCAAGAGACTCTTTAACTGGGTCCCACACAACACAAGAGCCCTCTGTGAAGTGAGGCTGGATGAGTCATTTTCTAAGCTCATTAAAAACAGAATTTGTGCGTTTGCATTCTTAGGAAAACAGGCTCATCGCAAGACAGCAGTGGTCTAGCTTTTGAAACGCAGGCACACTCGAAATTAGTTTCGGTGCGCATTGCAGACAGGACATTGACCAATGAGAGACTCCCTCTTACTAAAAAGGCAACGCAAACTTTATTTTGGACTGTGTGCCATAAATGCAGCTGTAATTGCTGTAGACACAGCTGTAGGCAGACGTGAAAGAGCAACAACATAGACAGTGACGTTGAGATGCAGACAGGAACATTTCACCACCATGAGTCCAATTATAAAGCAGAATTATTGCAGGACAATAAGCACTCATCAGGTGGCACGATGGCGGAGTTGTTAGCATTGCTGCCTCACAGCACTGGAGCCCTTGTTCTGCTTGAGTTTGTATGTTCTTCGTGTGTTTGTGTGGGTTTCCTCCAGTGATCCAGAGACATGCTGGTACGTTAATTGGCCGGTATGAGTGTGTGTTTGTATCTGTGTGTGCCTGGCTATTGACTGGCGTCCCATCCAGGGAGAATCCTGCCTTGTGCCCGTTGTTTTCCAGGATAGGCTCCGGCTCTCCTGCGACTCTGAATTGGATGAAGTGGCTTTAGAAAATGGATGGATGGAACAAGCACACATTAACCACAATAGTTTAAATTCATTCCCCAAGTGTGTTCTGTTCCTTACATTTCTGAAATACAGGAGACAAGCCTCATTTGATAACTACCCTACTTCAGGGAGGCCTGATCTAACTGCCACTACAATGTTAGAAACAAAACTTACAGCACAGGATCCCGTATGGCCTTTGGAGTCAGCACTGACGATATATGCTCGCCACATTCAACAGGAAATTTTAATTGTACACAAAAATTATGAAAATTACCAGCAGAAGGCACTTCCTTCTTGCTTTTTCACTCTGAAGCACACAGTAATGCTTCTGAAAGCCTGAAGACCTCACAGAAGAGCTGGATATGTGAATGCCCTGTGTACTACTTCCAAAACATATCCACCCAAATTCCCTCTCAACAGCCAGACACACGACTGTCACTTTCTCTATAGATAAGAACAAGATAAAAGCAAACACTCAGCAGCTGCCAGTTCCAGTGTGTCATGTTGCCGAAGCCGAATTGGCTGGGTAAAATCCTTGGATCAATTAGCTACTGAAACTACCAAATGGGCCAGATGCACTCTCATTTGTTACTGTTCTTGCTGTAGGGTTTTCAGTAGTATACATTTTTGTTTAACCAAAGTTTAAACCAAAATCTCGGCTGATTTACCCTGAACACTAGTATTTCCTTAAATATATTTAAAAAAAAACTTTGTCCTCAGTACCAGTTACAATGTAGAAAGAAACAAGATGCGTTATGGGTTAAAAACCGGACTGATAAAAAAGGTTTTGTTCCAAACTGAGTGGTCAGTTAGCCAACTGACATTGTTGTGTTAGATTAATTACAGGATTTTCCTCAAATTCTGTTACTCTTGATTACTCTTAACTTTCACTGTGTTAAAGGTACAGTTATTGATAAAACACCTAAAAATCTGGTTCATAGCATTACAACTATACAGATAATGAAATGACAAGACCAACTTGAGAGCTGAAAGAGAAATCTTAAAGATGGCAAGCGTTGTGGGAATTGAGTTTGAAACCCCTGCCCTGGACACTTACAGTGGCACGTGACTGGTCCTCGCAGGCCGCCACATTTGCCCTTCACCTAGGCAATTAACTACCTAATTTAACTAATTACCTTAACCGAATAATTAACTTAACACTATGAAAAGTGTTGAAGAACTGCAGATTGTGAAATGTGAAATGGTATAAATGACAGAGAGAGACTTTCTGTCTTACCTATCCTTTGCTACAGATGCATAGAGCTCATCTGTGGTTTTATTTGCATGGATAGTACTTCCAGGATGGGAAAAAAATGTAAGTGATATCATGACCTATAAATATTTTCTCAGGTTAGGGTTTCTGGAAACTTTTCAGGACCTGGGGTTGGGAGACCTGCAAGGAAGAGCAGGTGGCTGCTATTGGGTGGTGATGGTGGACCAGTAGGTGGCGCCCTTCCATCAGAACCAGAATTTCCATACACTAGCACCCCCATATGTTGACTGGTAGCACTGTGCTATAGCAACTGCCATCCTGAGAGGAGATGTGCCGATCAAGTGACTGCCTCGCTTTCACAATCCGGCCTCACAAATGGTTAATTCAACGGCTGGAACAATTTTTCGCGTCTCCGTCTGAAGTGTGGAGGGGCTGCTGGTGCAGGCAGCGGCCACACGCCACACAGGTGGGCTTGACACTTCAGTGCTGGGTGAAGTGGGTCTCTCCTTTCAAGTGCAAAGTGCTGTGGGATCTTTTGTGATGAAGAACGCTGTACAAATTTCATTTATTGAATTTCTAATTAATTATATTTAATTCATAAATGTACGAACCTGCATGTGTGACCGGGGCAAGGGTGCTGCATTTTGGAAAAGGAAATGTGATCAAAGACGTCAATTGCGAGTAACGATAAACTCTAGAGAGCACTACAGCAAGAGATACCTGTATAAAAGGAATATTAGGCAAGAAAATTAAAGTTTTAAACAGAAAAGCATAAAAGATGTCACTCCAGAATTGAAAAAAATAATTATACAACATGAGTGAGCCAGATGTTCACCAAAAAATAAAAGAAAATGAATCAGAAGGACAAGACTTGAGTTTTAAACACTAAAGTATAACAATGACAAATAAACAAGAACACATAAAAACTATTATATATAAAAAATGTTATGGTACATCTGGTGTTATTAGTTATTATTTTCTTTATAATTAAGACACTAGGAAAATGGGTGAAACATGACACTGAAATTCTGCACAGGGCTATCTCCTGACTGGCTCCCAATTCTACCCTTGATGCCCAGAGCGACAGGGAGCACTTACATGATGTACATATCTCCAAAATCAAATGTTCCCATGAGAACTCTTTTCATAAGCAGTAATTTGAAAATAAGCTTAACTACCAGCAGAATAGGAAGTCGTGAGTGATGTTTTAAGATTTGCTTTAGGAAAAATTCTAACGAAAAAAATAAAATTGAAAGTATTAAACACATGCACAGTGTTCAATTTTCTCAGCCACAGCTACACATAAGCAGTAAGAGCTAGATTTGCTCAGGAGGACCATGATACCCTACTGCCTTGTAAAAGGAAACACTGCCTTGACACGATGCAAGTCATTGTTCCATGAATACTATCAGTTGTCTACTGGTACCCCTCGGCCAAGACCAGCCATTAAGCATGCCAGAGCTCTCCAACTTGCCGGATACACTTTGTGAGGTGTGCCACACTAACACAGTCCTCAAACGTGTTCCTTCACACCTGAAGAAGGCTCCACGGCCGAAACATTGCGTGTCCTTTCTTCCATTTTCAGCATGTAATAAACATATTCCGTGTTCCTCATATGACAACTTTCTCGCATCGCAGCCCAGCCCTAGCCTGGTCAGCACTGCTCACGAACGATCGAATCCATGAACGTTGATCTTTACAATACTCAAAACATCTCATCATTTTATCAGTTTCTTGAAAAACTGAAGGCCCACCACAGAGACTTTGGAATATTATTGAAAAAAAGACCTGGCCTTAGTCTGCAACTTCCGGTTTCTTGCAACTAAAGTAGCTGCCTGTTAGTTGCTTATGGAAACCTTATGCATTTCCGGACACTGATGCAATGCCACACAAAAAGAAATCAGGTATTATCTGTGGAGTACGTGCCAGGTTAATTTATACATCTTTATCCATCTATCAGCTAAATTGTATCATCAAGATGTTGCCAAAACAGCTGGCATTGTGCTGAGCAAAATAGATTGTTCTACAGGTTCTGCCTTTTAGATTCCAAATGTACTGTTCTTATGCATAATCGCAGAAAGCCGGGGAAGCCATTAGAGGAGGGAGACAGGGATCTGACAAGGACAAGTGAGATGCTGCAGTTACATCACTAGAATAGAATGCTGCATGAACGGGTCCTTTAAATCCATCAACACGATATTAAATATTTTTACTAATGAATCATGATCCCCAAATAATTTAACACATTTGAAAGGGCTTTGAACCTGTGGACAAGCACGAAAATGTTTTTAATATACACCTATTGATGTCATATTCCTCTTTAAAAGCTACTTACAATCAACAGTCTCTGAAAGCGGGTAACAGCAACATCACATGGCAAGTGCCAACCAGTACACACGGTTCACTGGAAAAATACAAACCATTAAATATCACAGGACAATCGTTTTATTCATTTATTTGGCTGATGATTTTATCCACAGTGACTCTGTACCCACCTACACAGCTGGGTATTTTGCTGGAGAGATCGGAGTGAACGAAGGCACAGCAGCTGTGTCTCCACCCAGGCAAACAGGGCCCAGAAGCTTGTGATTACAAGCCCAGAGCCCTGGCCACCCCTCCACACTGCTTGAGAGATCCGAACCTCTCTCACTGACCTTTAACAACTGCAATCATTTCACACTTCAGGTTTTAACACAGGTAACCAGATTGTTCTTGGTTAGTCATTAATCCCGTTTTAGTGCCAGCGGTAACAACTTAATTGTCTCAGTTTACTAAAGGCAGTTTCCCAGCATCACTCCTCTGTTTACTCGGTGACTTTTGATTATGGTTTCATAGAAATCAAATTCTTATTGTTTTCACAGGGCAACAATACTAAAATAAAAAAAAAAACAGATCTTGTTTTTAAGTCATGAAAGTATAAAAATATTCGGGCCTAGAACCCTTCTAAAAAGATAAAAAAACATCCTTCTGAATCAACCTCATCACTGGTCGCATGGCCCTAAGAAGGAGAATAGCAGGGAACTGGAAGTTCAGGTTTCAGTCACTTCACTTTTCAGTCTATTCCCGTTACGGCAGCAAGAATATGCAAAGTTTGGTTCGGCTTCTTTAAATCATGCAGATTAATATAGTTTGTGGCCTGAATAGAGATGACCATTCATATTATTTAAAGCAATGTTGAAATATGTCACAACACCCTCTTACTTCAACATCAGTCCCCAGAGTGGCTTTTAAGATGTTTGCATCTCTGAAGACCTAACAATTAAGGAGCCTGCTGGCTTTTAATATGCAAGTTAAACACAGCTCTGTCAGGAGGTTCATCAGCTGAAATGAATCAAAATAACACCCAAACAAGTTCAGAATAACAGAGTGGAAACAGTTCAATACCCATTACCTTCTTCTGATTACGTTATGATAAGCTCTCCCAAAACTAAGCTCTTCAGAGCTGATTCTCAACACAATTGCATTAATCTTCCTGACATGCTTTAAACAAGAGATTTGAAGATGTAGCCAACTTTTTTCGTCTTTATTGCTTTATTGCTTTTACAAATATGTTGTCCAATGTTCAAGAGATGCACCCAAACAACTATTAAATTAAAAGCCCAATCTTGAGAATTAACCTCCAAGACCCTGGTTTTAGAGATTTTAAGGACACTTTTGCCCCCACATTGAAAAATCTTTTATATACAGTATATATATATATCTATCAGTCATTTCATATTTGGGTCATATAACTTCTAGTTTAGATACTTTTGCAGCAAACTAAGTTAACAATCTATTTCTTAAATTTCAGAATGGTCTAAATGCAGAGTTCCCCTTTACTACCTCTTTAAAATGTTGACTTACAGTAGTAATAGTAATTCGGGTGCAAAAGGCCTTCAGCCTTTTTGTGCCTTTTGCGCAGGTGCAAGTCACTGGTTGCTGAAGGCCAATGTACTCATTCATTTGGAGAATTATTGCTCTAGTTTTTGATAACAACAAAATGGAGAAGAGACCGGTAGTAGAAACAGAATATGAGCATTTGCTGAACAACGCCACCAAATTAAAGTACGAACATTATATTTGCTAGACCATGACATGACTTTTACTCAGTGAAGTCAGTGGTTTTGCTCCTGGAGTAATGTAATAATATTAATACTCTGCGACAGAGGCTGAAGCATACTCAAGTACACGGACAGCCCTGAAGAGACCTTTGCCAACAGACTTTGAGCGTCCAACTGTATTTAGAAGTTACTGAAAATAAAATCTATTTTACCGTTCGCAACTTTACCGTCTCTATTTTGAGCTCTGTCCCAGCTTTGCCTGCATGTAGGTGGCAGCTACTTAATTTTCACACGAACCTACTATTCCATTTGCAAGTCACATCAAAAGTAATGGTGCTCGCTAGTTACGTCCACATATAATTGGACTTGAAAGGGTGATTAAAAAATATACTGTTTGTTTAATTATATACAGTTATTTACGTATTGAGGAGAGATCTGCATTTCTTTAAACCAAGCGTGAAGCCAGAGATTATTCCCATTGTGATTCCATCGAAGCTTGAGCAAAGCTGTCCTGTAACACCTCTGTTACACAATCTTTTATGATATTATCACGATCTTCATTTTAGAAGGTGTTTTAAAAGGTACAGACATTTGAAAATTCAGCCTAAAGTTTTTTTTTTTTACTTAAAGGTGTTATCAAGCATGTCTGCTCAAGCTACAGTATACTAAAGGTCATCTAACTGTCATGTATTAAAGTTAAGGTCTAACACTATACTTCAAACTGCTGGGGTTATTTTAATAAGGTTTTTAAATATTCATGTTGAAAATTCAAATTCTATTCATATGTATGAAAAACCATGCTCTTGTAGTCTCGTACACAAGAGATATTTTGAGCTGAAAAGCCACTTCACCTTTTATTAAGTTTTAATGTTATAAAACACTATAGATGTTGTATAAGGACATGAGCCTTAGGTCTCCTATTGTTTGGATGCCACTCAAATGAATGCACAGCTGGACTTACAGATTTTGTAAGTTAAAGCTGTGATATTATTGTCTCTTAACTGCAATTTGTAGTTAACATTTGCTTATGGTTCTACAGTACGTTCACTATTAAATGAACATACAACTGCCAATATATGAACTACTAGATATGTATTTTTCTTGAGCCAAAGTATGGATGATTATTACTCTTATACCTTTTCATTTTTAGCATGACAATAACATTGTGGTTATACCAAACAGAAAGCAAAAGTGAAAAATTTAAAAATAATCATTAACTCATTAGCATCGTGAAACAGTGTAAAATGTCCTGACTTCAAAGAGGGAAACTAAAGTCTGTGAAACGGGGGAGGCAATGTGAACAGATAATTATTAATAGATAACAGTGAGTTTTATACTTTAACTACAGAAGTTCGTCTGCAATAAGCCTTCTCGTCCACTCGAGGTGTCCAAACCTGAAGTGTACAGGCCAGCACATTTTGGTTCAATACAGCCCAGTACAAAACTAGTTAAATCCGTAGCAAAACTAATCAGCTTTTTCCTTTCACGTGTGATTTGATACAACCTAACAGTGAGTTGCCCATGGAGGCCATTATAGCGCCCCTGCCCAGTCGTCCGTTTTAATCCATCAGTTCCCATTGGGTTCAGTCCTGATCTCCTCCTCGCAGTTCAGGTGGTTCGCCAGCTCCTGAACCACGGCGGCCTTGCCGATCTGATCGTTCCTCCTCTTTTCCATGATCAAGTCTTCCAAACTCTGGAACTCCAGCATGTGGCTTTTTTTCTCGGACAGCTGGATTTTCAACCGGTAGGGCTGCTTGCCAATTCGGATCTCTCCCCCGATTTTGAACTCCCGCTTGCCAAATTTGCACCAGGCGGCGAAACACTCCGAGTTCCTCCAGCTGAGCTCCCGGTCCTTCGCTCCCACCTGCTCCATGGCGCTCTGCACCACCACGTCGGGGCTCAGGGGTTTGAATTTGTACACGTCGTTCACCACCCGGCCCCGTCTGCCCTGGCTGGCGTCCGTCAGGAAATCGTTCTTGATCTCAGCCCTGTGCAGATGAACCACCTGAAAGTCCCCCACGTACACAGCCCAGTGGGGATACTGGCTGGTCGCCACGAACTCCACCAGGTCGCCCGGCTTGCACTTGTTCAGCAGATTTTCGGGGGAGTACGTCCCCATGTCCCCGGTCTTGGTGCTCTTGTCGTACACGCACTCGTCTCGGTAATAAATCGCACACTCCAGTTCGTTGCACTTGTCATACTGTTTCTCTTCCTGATTCGGGTCCGTGTCTGCTCCACCAACGTTATCATCCAGCTCGTCGTCATCCGCGGAAAAAATGTAGGACACCCCGATTCTGGGACCGTCTTCCGTATCCAAACCGTTCGGGTCCGCCGTCGGAACTTCTGCGTAACTTAAATGAGTCAGTTTTTCCACCTGATTCCCCATAACACTTCCACGAAGCCGGGCGTATTAGGAAGGGGAGAGACGATGTAATTCCACCTGTTAAAGCCAGGGGAATCGCAGCTATTGGAAAGGCAACACGTAACAGGACCTGGGCAAAACTAATTCCACGTTGCGACGGGGTATCAGTCCTTTCATGTTCAAAATAAAGCGGAGTGCGACACGCTCCCCCCTTTTAAATAAAAAAGAGCCGCTTTTTCCCCCCCAAGATCAAGCTTTGGTCTGTGTCAGAGAGAGAGAGAGAGAAAATAGAAATTAGTGCTGAACTAAAAAGAAAAAATACAGGCAGCGTTTAATTAAAACTTTAAGGCTGGCCTATTTAGTACGGCCCAACCAGGTGTGTTACACCTGACGCATCCCTTTGCTGCCAAAGTTGCAAAATCAAACGGAGCTGTTTTAAAACTTACCTTCAGCTGTTAATATTACATCGCTCAACATACACGCTGAAGGCGTGCTAAAATCCCAAATGGAGAGCGGCGGGAAATCAGTGGCTATCTTGTGTGTTTTTTTCCCCCGTGTACCTCTAATAAATTATTACAGCAGGGAAACAGGTACGGCTCGGCCGCTCTTGTGCAACTGCAGCTCCCAAGCAGATCTGAGCGAAACTCGCCTCGGCAGTAAATTACAAACTGCTCAGCCCTTAAAGCGACAGTAGGTTATTTTCTCCTCTTCGCTGTCTCGTCACAACTATGGTACTTTCCTCTGCCAGTACGCAAACCACTTGTTGTTTAATTGTTCAATACGCATCTTAACAAAAACACCCCCCAATCAAATGTATTCAGAAATACAACAGTGCATTCCCTGCATCAGGTTTTCGACTCTGTTCGTCGAGGACACCAGAAAAATGCATTTGTTTCTTCCGAATTACCTATCCTTCAAAATATTTCCTCGAATAGGGCAAACTCCTCACCTGTCACCTATTTTTTTTTTTTAATGACGTGATTCGGATATAATGTTATCACCCTGCTATACATAACTGGTCGAGGGTGTACAGTAGGCAAACAAGCTTCCCAGCCGTGTTGCTAAAACCGATATCTGTATTCTTTCAAGAGCAATTAAACAAAAACAACAACAAACGAGCTAGGTGTTTTGTAGCCGTTCTTGTATACAATTAGCATACTCTGAATCTGACACCCAGCACCGAAGCCAGTAACCTAACCTGTCTGATACTGGACGGTACGCGGTAGCCCCATTATGCAGCACATCAGAGGAAATGGGAAATTGCATCACTAACTGAACTTCAGGGAATCCAGAGTCAAATTTAACCAGAGCACTGTGGTAAACAGATTATCTTCTGAAGAGTGCCACAAAATAGGTAGGAAATTGACTCTGCTGTGAGGGTATGTGTGTGTTTGTGCTGTGTGTCGGTCGCGAATGGATTTTAAATAATTAAGCCCAACAATCATTCATTTATATTAGAATTAATATGTAAAATGATTTACTTATGTGGGGAGCAGTATTTATGTAGGTTTAAAGGCAGTTGTTTACAACCACTCGACTTTATATGTAAAACAAACATGTAAAATTACCCCAGAGTCACCGAATGAATTCTCACACCAAGAGAATGTAGTCTTGTGTAACTAGAACACCTTAAATACAAGATGCTGACAGAGCAGTCCTAACAATCTTTGCAATACCACTGGTAAGCAAGACATTTTTACAGAGAAAAACAAGATCTGAAAACTTTTTATATACTGGCCAGAACAGAAGCTTTAACATTAGGCTGCAGACACATTTCTAATATGGAGTGCAGTTTTAGAAGACAAGTCTTTTAAATTGCAAATGAAGACACATCAACTGGCTGTAACAAGATGATGCCTTGTCTTACTTGGGTTATGCAGTTCCCTAGCACGAAGACTGCATGAAGAAATCTTCAAGAGGACAAGTATTTAAGGACTTCAACTTACATTGCAGGACAAGTATTTAAATGTTTTCCCCTTCATTGCAACAATCAGTAGGAGGATCGCAGGAGATCAGTATAAAGAATTTCATCTTGCCTTTTTATTTTAATTACGTTTTTAATGGCCTGGTGGAAATAAATAAATGAGTCTATTAATGCTGAACTCACAACTTGTGTCCAATTTGTGTTAAAAGTGGTTCACTCTAAAAAGTTATCCTCAACTATAACTTTCTCTGGATGTGACCGTTTGTGGCACAGAAACACACTTCGAAATTAGCCTCGGCTACCTCAGTCTTGACAAGGTATCTGGGGTTTGTGTTTTATTATTGTATTCATGTTATAATTGCACAAGTCTCTATTAAATAAGTGAACAAATACAGGCAAGAAAATATTTCTATATTTATGATTTTATGCAAATATCTGCTGCTTATAAAGGACAATCAACAGCCTCCAGGAATTCTAGTAGGTGTTAGATTAAACTATTTCTGTAAAACGCCACACTGTATAGACAGTTGTGGAAAACATGACATGGCCTTCCTTTGAAATTTGTGTGCATGTGTTATGTCCTTTTTGTTGTTTTAATGTTGTTGTAAGTAAAATTGTTTTAAATGGTAAGGGGCTCATGTCCTAATGTGTGTGAATGATCTAGTCATCATACTTTCTGGGACATTATTTATAATAAGAAGGAGTAGACGGGCTGTTTTTGGTTTTTTTCTTCACCTTTTTCTATCTCAGATAATACCCATTTGGTTAATCCTTTTTACACCATAAAGACATGAGTCAGAAAATTATGTTTTTGTGTTATTAACCTTGAACTCACACTCTGCATTTTTAACACGTAAAAAGCTTATCCTTTTCTTAAATTAAACACTCAGCTATTCACAGTCACAAATATGACTAACATGCATAGAAAAAGCTTTCTAAATTTCAGTTATGAAACAGTGACGTCTTCTCAATAACTTTAAGGAAGCGTATTATTTAAAAGAGCAGTTTTTTCACCTGACTTATCTTGCTATGGTGTGTCCTATTTTAATGCTTCTTTTCTTCTCCTTTTTTAATTATAGTTGCTAGCACAATTTATTTTTTAAAAGATTTGTCACAGCCAAGGGGTCACAGCACAATGAAAAAACTTTATCAGTATTAGTACAGCTTAGCAAAAGTAATGCTAATAAACATATTTGGCATGGAGCAAAGGTTTAAAGCTATCCTCTAAGATAAAGAACATCCAAGCCGGGCAGTGTCAGATGTATAATCTAGATCTATTTCATATTGCAAATAAATTCAAATTTAGAATAACACATTTAAATGTTCATGTCTCTTGCTTTGTGTTTGCTCATGACAGGTTTCTCTGACATGGTTATTAAAATTTCTGCCAGTTGCCAGTGAGGTCTGGCAGTGTGAGCTGTCATTTAAGCAAAGGTGAAGTTCAGAGAGGTCCTTGTTTGCACCTGTGGAAATGAGGCTCCTGCCTTTCTTGAGTGTGTTTTTTTATGCCTCTTCCACTCCAGCCTCTCATTCGTAACTGCAAGTTCAGGCAGTCTTAGGCTGGGGCCATTCCTCCTAGCCTCGAAAGAGAATCGTGACCTGAACCTAAAGGTCTGAATATTCCTACCCTGTGTGAGACTCCAAATCCCTGAACCTAAAGCCTGAAAATAGTATGGATTCCTAGGTGAATTCAAGAACATGGATTGCTTTCAACAAACATTTTCCTTAAAACCTCTTTCTTAAACCACAAATCGCATGATGTTCATCCTGATGTAAAACGTTGTAACAGCTGATGCCTATTTGCTTGATTTTTTTAATTTAACAGCATCCCTTTCTACTCAAAGAACACACCTGTGCAAATTACTAACATTTATTATTATACTTACATTAATTGAGCAGTACAGCTTAGCTATTATACATATTGGACTGGATAACAAAGAGCTGTGTGAAAGTGATGTCTGTCTATGATGATATACTGCAGAAGACAATGGAAATTGCAGAAAAAGGCTGGAAGTACAGTTCCTCCAATATCACATTTTGTTTGTTAATAAAGGAATTCATTTAATAAATGACCCGCGGTCACTTTTTCTTGCTGACAAATATCCAGGCTCATTCCTGTTTCTGAGAAAAAATGACGATCCAGAGTTCTGGAATTGCTTTCTGGATTGTGTGACCATCTTGTCACTTCTGATAGGCTTCTGCATTCATTTTTCAGCTGCGATGAAACAGTGTCGCTAGTTATGGTCTAAGGCAGTGGTTCCCCGTCCTGCTGCTGGTGACCCACTCACCGGTTGGGTTTTGATCCGGTCGAGCCCTCGGTGACACAATCAAGCCCTTCGTTGACTTAAAGATAATACAATTAATTTGAACTATTTGTTCCCAGTTCTTAAGCACGTCAGAGCTTTAACTGTTGTATTCTGTGAGTGAAATACCATTCCAAACTCTTGACTAGAAACAAATGCAAATATTTGAATGAAGGAACTTCTTCGATCGATTAAGGCTTCAGTTATCTAAAGGATGGTGAGCTGGAATGAAAACCAGCAGGTTTTGAAAACCACCAGGATTTGAAACCAGTCTTGGCCCTGGAAGGTTGCAATTTTCAAGCTAACTCAACTCTAAATGAACTTAATCACCTCATTATAGGCTTGATTGGACCAATTAAATGACCTCTCTCAGCTCTTCAGGTGCGACGCTTTGAAAGAGTCTTAGGTGTCCAGTAGACACACCAGGCCTGCCAGACCAGGACTTTACAACCCTGGTGTAGCCTGGTGTGGCTTCTTGATGAAATCACCCCACTAATTTGAAAATCATCTCCTGGCAAGGTTCTGTACAAGTTCACTAGAACTGGCAGCTAGTAAAATAAAAGTGTAAATTAACTTGCCAAAGCTAGGTCACAAAAGCTCCTGATATGATTGTTAGTTCCATTTACAGTTATAAATAAAAACTCTTTTAAATCTAAAAATACATTTGAAAACATTTTTAATCACTTGAAGATAACATAAAGTATCCTTATTTATACAGTATTTCTGAGATAATATTCCCAAACAGACCCGTGATGCTTTAAAACAGGGGTTTCCAAACCTCGTCCTGCAGGGCCTCAGTCCTTCAGGTTTTCATCCTGCACAAAACTCAACATTTCCACAAAGTATTGGCTTCATTAGAGTCGTTGACCAGGTTTCCCACCCTTTTCTGGTGCTGCTGATTTGAAAGGAATGCAACCTTCCAGAACTGGAGCTGGTGAACCCTTCTTCTGGAGGAATGTACTTTTTAAAAGACAAATCTTGAAATAAAGTTCGAACTCTGCCCTGATTTAACAGTATTAACCATAGAGTCTTCGGTTTTCAGTTGTTTATCACTAGTTCTATGATTGTCTTTAGTTGCAGAGGATTTTTTTCCTTTCATTGAGTTACTGTTTCAGTGGTGAAGCGTGTAGTTTACGGTAAATGTCTCCCGCAGAAATTGTGTGGGTTGTGAAGTGGGGAGAATTCAGCTTTCACAGCCTTGAAAAACAGTAAGATCATGAGTACACATGAAACCTTGAACATATTATTTTGCTGGTACTGTTTTAATCTGCAGCAGAACCACTTCACATATTAGACATTAGAGGGCCGAATGTAGAAGAAACTGTAAGTTTCTAAACTGGGAAATACTGGGAGTGTATGTGAACCTTTTAATGACGCAGTCACTCTGAATCTATTCAAACACAATTTTTTTGTATTATTATCATGGAGATGTTCCAGCAGACAAGAACGCATACTTAACTAACAATGCCACAAGCCCTACTTTCAGATTTGATCTTGTCTGGGCCTAACCACAGTACTGTTATAACTACTGCAGTCATTAAAGGTAACCTTTTCTCCCTATTTAAGCAAGAAAAGAATCTTCAGAGAAGCATTTATTCTTTTCCACTCCACGTTACCGAAACGCACTACGATCGCCCCACATCTGTTGTACTTCAGGTTGTCTGTCTAATTAATTTACAAAGCGAGACACGTCGTATTCTGTGTGAGG